CCTGACACACATCATTGCTTCCCTTGCAGCGGGCGGAGGCAGCGCAGAGGGAAGTGGAGGATCTGCGGGAGCAGCTCGCGTCTGTCAATACTTCCATTCGGCTGGCCTGTTGCTCTCCACAAGGATCCAGCGGGGTAAGGGAGAGGCGCGTCTGATGTTCAGCAACAGCAGCACTCAGCAGGTCAGATCCTTGGCTGCAGGAAACTGGCTTTGCTCTACAGACCTTGTGGGAGCCAGGCCTATTCACGCCAGCTGGGGAGCTGACCTGGAGTCCAGGGTGCAGGAAACTTTAAGGGCCTTGGTTTTCCAGTATATAAAATCACATGTCTAAAAAAATCATCCCTCTGGGCTGCTGATGGGCTCAGTGGCACCAGTTTAATAGCACTGTGTAGGGCCCATACACCCTAAGGACAGCCCTGCACAAGTCTATGGGATACAGGTGTTTTCTGCTGCTGTAGATCAGAACACAGGCTCCTGAGTTCAGAGTTGCAGACAAAAGCCCAGGGACCCAATCCTTTGTCGTGCTGAGCCATGAGAGCTCCTGGTGCTCAGCACCTCACTGCATCAGGCCCTTCGAGAGAGACAGAGAAATAAGCATTGATTCTGGGCCCCATGCCTGCACAAGGAGAGTGAATTAGCACCAAGCCCCAGATCTTTAATGTTTGTAAAGACCTAAGTATAACAGGATATACATGAGCCCTCTCGAGGTGATTTCCGTCCCAGCTTCTGGCTTCGTTAGTCCATCTGGTTTGTCGCCTCTAGGAAACACATTTAAATATTTGTTTATTTTTCAGTCTATATCCTCTGTCAATAGAAGGCTGTGCCTGGCAGGGACTGCAATAAATCATCCCTAATGTGAAGACACTGGCAGAGGGCATTTTATTGCTATACTGGAGCTCAGTTAGACATGTGTCTGTATCTGGCTTCACATGTCTCCCCTCACCCCCTCAGAATGCAGGTAACACCCCTCCCGGCATGTTGTCAGGGCTTGCCAGCTGGGGGACATTGCTTTCCTTCAGCCTTTTTATCTCTGCCATCAAACACAAGCTCACCCTGCTTTGAGCCTGGATGCCGTGCCAGAGGGCTGGGAGGCGGGAAGCAATGTGGCCAGGGGACAATTATCCTGCTCAAAAGTAACCCTGCTGAGCGGAACTGAACCTGAGACCTCTGGAGCTTAGTGCAGCAAAGCCAACCTGTCAGTGCCTCCCTCTACAGCAGGGAGTGGGCAAAAGCCTCTTAGCCAGCCGGGTCTGGTGCCACCCCCAGCTCATTGCCTGGGAACAGGAGAGGAACGTAAGCCCTTCTAACTGCTTCTGTTTAAAGTGCTCCCGTCTTCCCCAGCCTTGGGCAGCAGGGGAAGGGAAGACTCAAGCCCCTTAAATGGAAACAGCTGCAAGGGCTGGAGTCTCTGGCTCCCTAGCAATGCGCCAGCGGAGCAGGAGCTGCGAGCCCACAACACGCTGGGGGGGAGGGCTGCGAGCCCTTAGAGCTGTTTCTATTTCAAGTGCTCTCCTGTTCCCTGGTGCTGCTAGGCGAGACGGGCTCACGCCCCTTAAATAGAGAGCATGGGAAGGGCTGACAGAGGCATGGGGAGCTGCAACCCCTTTCAGCTGCTTTTATTTAAAGGGCTGGCCCCTTCCCCTGCGGGTCAGACAACAGGTTTGCCTCGCAGCTGTGGGGAACAGGAGAGCCCTTTAAATAGAAACAGCTGAGAGGGCTCGCAGCTCCTCTAGCAAGTTGCCAGAGATGCCAGCTGTTTTTATTCAACGGGCCCTCCTGTTCCCCCAGGCTGCTAGGCAAGCATTGCTTGACAGTGGTGGGGAAGGCAACAAGCCTTTTCAATAGAAGCACTTAAAAGGGCTTGAATTGCTGACTCCCTCCCAACTGCATTAGAGGCCAGTGGAGCTGAAAGCCCTTTTAAGTGTTTCTATTTAAAGGGCTGGCACCTTCCCAGTGCCTGTCAGGCAACCCTAGTGGCTTGGGGAACACAAGAGCCCTTTAGAGGAACAGCTGAAAGGGCTCGCAGCTCCCCATGCGTCTAGCGCATTGCCAGGGATGCAGGATCCCTCAGATAAACCAATAACCAACCTATTTCATTATAACTGGTTTTGATTAAAATATCTAGATGCCATTTTATAGTCAAGGGGGGGAATCTTTTGTAACCCATAAACCCTAACTGAATATACTTAGTGTGGGGGGAGGAAAAACAGGGACTTGGATACTATTTCATGGAATCATAGGGCTGGAAGGGGCCTCAAAGTCATTTAGTTTAGTCCTCTACACTCATGGCAGGACTAAGTACTAATTTTCAGTGCCCTATGTTTAGTGTTAGTGTTGTAGTTATTACAAATGTTACAAGTGTTCTCATAATGTTAGTGTTGCTACAAATGTTACAAGTGTTGTCTTCTATGATAATCTTTGGATAATGTTGTATGCAGTTAATGATTATTATATTTTGAATTACTTTGTTATGTAAAAAACATATTGGCATCTTTTCACAGCATGGCCCTGTCCCTTACACCTAAGGCCCCCACCCCTTCCGGGATGGCCCACGGACACTTCTGAACTTTGTGAAGTGGCTCCCTTTCAAAAATTATTGACCACCCCTGCTCTACAGCTTGACCTAAAAGCCTGCTAGCTTTCAGCTAAGGCTGTAGAGGAAACCCATTCTTTCTCTCTGTAAGTGGTCTCAGTGCCCTACATGGGACTGTGACCATTCTTCTACAAAGGAATTTCATTAACCAATTACAGAGAGAGTCTGCAGAACTGGAATTTATCTTCAAATGTGACACTGAACCTGGGCTTGAACAAAGACGTTAACTGGTTGGCACATTACAAAGCTAATTTCTCCTGTCTTTAACATCTGCATATCTACCTGAAAAGCTATGTATGGGACACATCCAGTCCACTTAACTAGCTTCATTAAGTTAAGTGGTCCTACAATGGACAAGAACTTCTTCTGCTATTATATATCTCTCGGTTTCTGTTATTTCCACTCCAGCTCCATCTGATGAAGTGGGTTTGGCCTACAGAAGCTCATGATCCTATACATTTGTTAGTCTCTAAGGTGCCACAGGACGACTCACTGTTTTTAAAGTTACAGACTCACACGGCGACTCTTCTGCGACTCTTTCACACCCATCGGGTGTGTGGGTTACACAGGCCATCTCTCGGAGCCTCTTGCAAGCGTGGTGCAGTGGGTTGGCATTGCAGTGCAGCATGGGGCATTCCAAGGGGGTCTCCAGGATTATCTCTGGCATGTCATGGGCTTCTCCACCCCCTGAACTAGCCCAGACCTGGGAGGGTGGGAAAGTGGCTTAAAGCCACCCAAGCCTATAACACCTTAAACCCATGCCCAAAATTACAAGGCAAGGTGGCATCTTGGGAATGGAGACGATCTGAAAATCCGGTGTCTTGAGCCAACTTCTTGGATCTGGCTGATGATACCCTCGGCCCCTGGGCTCTCAAGCCAGCTGCTCACCAGAGCTCAGCCAAAGGTGGCGGTTGTGCTATGGGACACAGAGTCCCGGGAGCTCCGCTGCCCAACCAAACAGCTGCAGCAATCTAGCATCTGAACTGATGCACAGCACTGTGTCATGCTGGGTTCTGTTGCCTCAGGGGACGGCGCATAATGGGACACTACGCAGCGGGCAGAGTATACAGTGACCCCTTGGGAAAGCAGCAGGTAGCACCAGGGAGTGACTGTCTTGTAATAACCCATGGACTGGAATTGGGAGCTTTTGGGCTGCCAGCCCATCTGTGCTCTGAGCAGAAGCACAGGGCAGCCCAGGGCACTGTGGCTGGATGGTTCACGCTGCCCTGATCTCCTTGCAGGATAAAGTGAACTATTCGCTGTGCTCAGGGCCCAGGCTCGAGGCTACGCTGGTGGCAAAGGACCGGGAGATCCTCCGGCTCCTCAAGGACATTCAGCACCTCCAGAACTCTCTGCAGGAGCTGGAAGAGTCCTCAGCCAACCAGATTGCGGACCTGGAGCGGCAACTCATGGCCAAGAATGAAGCGATTGAGGTACGTGTCCCTTTCTGTCCTTCAAAGTAGGAAGAAAAATTCTGGCCTTTCAGCAGGGGTGGCTGCAAAATACACACTGAAGTGCTGAGCAGGGCACAGGGGATTCTCCGGGGGAAATCCATTTCTAAAAGGAGGCAACCTGAGCAGCACGGACAACCACTGTATGGGCCTGCCTCCGATCTTGGTGACATGGTGTAAATCAGGAGAGAAGCCCACTGAAGTCAAGAGAGTCCCACTGGGTTCAGGGAGATCAGACTCCAGCCCTTGAAAGAGAATCTCCACAAACGTGGGCAATGCAGCGCTACAGGGTGTGGGCTGGAGTGTGAGCTGGGGCAAATCAGCCTCCTTCCACCGAATCATAGAACACTAGAACTGGAAGGGACCTCAAGAGACCATCAAGTCCAGTCCCCTGCCCTCACGGCAGGACCAACCACCATCTAGATCATCCCTGATGGATGTCTGTCCAACCTGTTCTTAAATCTCTCCGGTGATGGAGATTCCACAACCTCCCTGGGCAATTTATTCCAGTGTTTGGCCACCCTGACAGCTAGGAAGTTTTTCCTAATGTCCAACCTAAACCTCCCTTGCTGCAGTTTAAGTCCATTACTTCTTATCCTATCCTCAGAGGCCTAGGAGAACAATTTTTCTCCCTCCTCCTTGTGACAGCTGTTTAGGACTTGAAAGCTGCTGTCATGTCCCCTCTTAATCTTTTCTTGGGCCTGAGTTCATCTCAATGGGCCAGCTGGGCAGCACATGAGATTACACTCAGCAGAGGGGTTTAGCTCCTGGGACATCCTTAGCCTGCGTGGAGCTGAGAGCTGGCTGTGTCCCCGGAAGAAGGACCAATCCATTCTCACTCTTGTTTCGCTCTCATTCCTTGTTTAGAAGCTGGAAGAAAAATTGCAGGCCCAGTCTGACTATGAGGAAATTAAAACAGAGCTGAGGTAAGGTCCACAACTGTGCGCTGTCCTTTTCCTGCCCACATGCCTGCCTGGTGTGTGGGTACACAGGATTGGGAGGGGCATTGAGAGCTCCAGGGGCTGCTCTGAGCTGCGTTGGAGACAGACTTCCCCAGATGTCGTCCCAGGAGGCATGGCAGCTCCGTAGCACACTTGCCAGCCTGTCGCTGAAGGCAGAGAGCAGCCTACCTTCCTGGCCTCCTGACTCTGGGCCCATGGAGTTCTCCCTCAAATACGGAGAGAGGATGTCACATTGCATCGAGCTCAAAAGGCAGCATGGCAGGGAAAAGCTGCACCGGTAGCTCTGATGGGAAACGCCAGCCGTTAATTAAAAAAACCTTCCCCCTGGTTTCAAAGGCAGCGCTTGGATGGGATGGAGTGGACACGCTGGCCAGAGCTCCCCAGTTACCTTGCTTCCCTCCCTGTGTGTCTGTGTCAAGGAAGAGGATTAGCCTCAGGACTTACCCTGTCTTGTTTTCCTTCCAGCATTCTGAAGGCAATGAAGCTGGCCTCTGCAAACTGCAGCCTTTCTCAGGCAAGTGCTGGAATCGGCTCGGGACTCACTGAGAGTCGGTTGCAAAATCGTCATCTCCAGGCAATCAATAAATCTTTCCCGAATGCTGCTTTCTCTCTTTCAGAGCATATCGAAACCAGGCGAGCCCTTGCTTCTGGGCAAAGAATCTTTCTATCCTTCCCAGAAATACCTGTTGGAAAAGCCAAATCTCTTAGCCAGCACTGGTAGGACAACATGTTTTTTTGTTTGGTTTTATATTTATAACACTTCCCCAGTGCATTTATTGCAAAACACATACGAATGTAACAGTCATAATCATCCCTGGGGGTGCTCAAGACTCCTGAGTTCCTTTACACACTCTCCCATTGACTCCTCGTTGGGCCAATCACTGACAATGAGCGGGGATTGGAACCCTGAGTTTCCTTGAGAACAGCTTGTAGAGTGTTTGTGGTGAAAGTGGCTGAGCAGACACCCAAACTGAGCCTCACAAGTCCCCGAGGCAGGGAAGATAAGGGGAAACTGAGGAAGGAGCAGTGATCTGACTTCTCTTGGCTCACATAAGGAGTTTGTCGCAGAGGTGGGGAGAGAACCCAAATTTTCAGAGCTCTTGGCACCTGCTTTAGCCCTGAGACCACCCTCCCCTACCTGAGCTGCTGTTTCCTCATTGTAGACCTTCCCCCTCCCTTGTAAAGTATTTTGGCATCTTTGGTACACAGAGGATTGGGAGGGGCATTGAGAGCTCCAGGGGCTGCTCTGAGCTGCGTTGGAGACAGACTTCCCCAGATGTCGTCCCAGGAGGCATGGCAGCTCGGGAGCCTGGCTCTGGTGTGCAAGGAAAATGTGGGGAGTGTCTTTCTGCTTCAGTCAGGGGCCACATCAGGGAGGGGTTTTTTGTTTCGCACTTGTGTGTGGCCCCTGGCTGACTTTTCTGTGGGTCAGCGGCCCCCGACCCACAAAGATTCCACAGCTCTGTTTTAATTGCTGCACAGACATTCCTGGATGCAGCCAGAGCTCAAGGACCCTCTCACGTCACAGCGCAATGGAAGCTCTAGGATTAGACCAGAGCCCCTCAGCCTTTGCTCTAAGTGGCTCCAGCATCACCATCCTACCGAGGTTCACCTCAGGAGGTTTAGCTGAGGACACAGCTCTCCATTGGGCAAAGGCCTGAGAAAGCCTAATGGCCTACAGCTCAGCTACCCCAGGCTCTGTGGGACCAGGAGAGGCAAATCCTGGAACAAGGGAGACCTCTCTGGCCCTGCCTCTCTCCCAGTCCAGCTTCAGGAGTGGAACTGCTCAGCTAGCGGCCCGTGCCTCTGAGGCAAAGGGCAGAGAAAGCTTGTCCCGGTGCATGTGTAGCCAAGGGAGCAGGCTTGTTCCTTTGCATCAGGGCTGTTGCCAGTGACATTATGGTGCTGTTAGACACCCCTGGCTGACCCATGCCCATTGGTTTGGGCTCAGGGATGGTTTAATTCAGGGATGGGGAACCTCATGCCCAGGGACCAAATGCAGCCCCTGGCTTAACTGGATCTGGCCCCCTGAGACTCAGGGCCTGCCCAAGATTGGGGAGCCCATGCAGGCACTGCAGCCTCCACACCACCCCACCACAGGGCTGGAACGCACAAAATCTACTAGACTGGAGCCTGGCTCTGGTGTGCAAGGAAAATGTGGGGAGTGTCTTTCTGCTTCAGTCAGGGGCCACATCAGGGAGGGGTTTTTTGTTTCTCACTTTTGTGTGGCCCCTGGCTGACTTTTCTGTGGGTCAGCGGCCCCCGACCCACAAAGATTCCACAGCTCTGTTTTAATTGCTGCACAGACATTCCTGGATGCAGGATCCTGGAGCCACAGCTCCAGCCTGGGCCCACACATCTATGCTGCAGCTAAACCGCCCCACAGCCTTAGTCAGCTGGCATGGGCCAGGCATGGCTTTTTGATTGCAGCGCCAGCATCTCCTGTGGGCCAGGTGTGGCCTTGATTCAGCATCAGCACAGCTCCCCTTTCTCCTAATCATTCAGTGGGCACTGAGGGTCCCAAACTCAGGATCAGGCCCCGGGCCAGGGAAATGGTACGATGTCCAGTCTGGACGGTGTGGCCGTGTCGTATTGCTGGCTCTGGGCATACTGTTGTCCGTGCTGGGCTCCCCAGCCCTGCACTCTGTGCTGTAGTGTGTGTGTCTCTCTCTCGTCTTTAGAGGAGGATCACTCTGAGGACGAGTTGGTGAAGGATTCCATGGGCACGGACCAGTCCTACCCCTCTCCCCAGCAGCTCTCACAGCCCCTTGGGGAGGAGCCT